CCTGCTGAGTTTCAGACTCTAATTGCAAGAATCCACACTAGCATTGTTCTGGACATCTGTCCTCCTGGATTTCTCTCACACAGGGTTGTTGCAGTTCATTCATCACAGCAAAGGAGCTGCTTTTAGACATGTATTGCTGTGTAATTAATTGCATTGCAAACACAGAACATAATGAGTGACATTTTCCCAATCTTGGCTTCAGAGAATGGGTTTATAATCTTAAAACATTATTCCCTATTAGTATTCTAATATTTGGGCATATGCAGATGAGAAAACCAGTCTCTGGCTGACAGGGGCAGTGGGTTGTCCTTACATCAAGGGCAAACATTTCTGCTCAAGTCTTTGAACTTGAGCACCGTAGGAATACAGAGGAAAAGTTAGAGGGCTAAGTTCATGAGTAGAAAAACTAGTTAACTCAACAGGGATTGTTATTCTAGCAGTGGGAAAAGACTGTACTGTCCTGGGATTATGAATAAATTGGCCAGTCAAACAGGACAGAAATAAGTTTAAATAGTACTGCCTTGTCTGGGATAGAAGTGCTTGGCTAGGCTAAAGAGAACAGTACATTACCCTGGAGTAAAATGTCTGGACAATAAATAGCTCATCAGAAATTTTGCCTGCACTATCAGAATAGTTATTGATAAAGCTTCCTTATTCATTCTCATTTATAACTACTCATTATACAGTGTTTATATTTAGCGTTCTAATTGCTGTGTGTTTATTATGGTCTGTCTTAGCTCTTGGCTACCATAAAAGGCACTGAGTCATGTGCTGCAGACTATTTTCTGATGGAAGAGAAAAGTTTTATATCTAAAGAAAAGAGTGAATGCAGAAAACCACCATTCCAGAGGGTGATTTGCCCTGAAGAAGGGCTAGTGCAGCTTTTGAACAGTTGGTTTCCAGAAGAAGGATATGTTGGAAGGATTATCTTGAAAACCCGAGAGGAAGTAAGTCTGTTTTAGATAAATTATTTAACAAAGGTAGCTAAAAATAGCTCTTAGGACCAGGAAACTAGAGGGTGCAGTATTTGTTTCACTACTTGTTGAGTAGTATCAGTGCCATGTACATTGTTTAGAAACAAACATACTCTGGAGTGAGCAAGCACAACTAGACCTTGCACACCTGTGTGAACTAACTGGACCTCACTCAGGCACCAGTTCAGTGCCACTAGCTGACTGCTCTGAGTGATAGCTCTAATTTAATGCAAATCTAGATTAAGTCATGGTAGGAAATTAATATAAAGAAAGATAATAGTTAACAGCAAAGGATCATAGATAACAGAACTCCAGACAACCATTATCAATTATCCGATATCAGAAACTTCTGAAAATGAGAAGTAATTATATTATAAAAGAATAAGTCTAAAACCCTCAGAGGCTGATTAAATTATCAATGAGACCCTGAAATAATGAAATAGGTGACTTCTTTTAATTTAAAGGAGGAAGATGGAGCAATTACTTCAGTTTAAACTGTGAGCAAAGCACCCACAGCTTAAAAATATGCTAGTGCCCAGGCTTGGGAGAGAGAGAAAAAAGCAGGAGAAAGGCACTCAATGATCTGATTTTCAGAGGCACTTTCTTTGGTCAGTTCAGCATATAAAATTGCTTGCTTATGACACAGATTTTACACACACAAATGACAGCGATCCTCTGACATGCTTTAAAGTGAAAACATGTATTTTTGATTATTTTGATAGAACTTTTGATAAAGCTTCAATTCGCTAAATTGCCATTATATTGCACAAGTCCACATTTTGTTTTCCTTTAATATTTGGAGGAAAAATTACAAGGTAGAAATTTGTGAAAACAGGAGCCTGCCCAATTCCCTGGAGTGCAGCACTTTGTCAGTGTAGCTGCCACAGGTGTCACTGCCCAGCCCCATTCTTTCAAATACAGGGCTTAAAATCTGTCTTGGAGCACATAACAATTGTGCTGTAGTTTTGTCCTGTGATGAGAGTACCTGTAATTCTGAGCCTTTCTGCAGGTCTGATGGGAAAAACAAGCAGTGGGTCCACTGGCAGGGAATGATCCACAGCCCATGTTTGCAGCCTGTGAGTTCAAGCTGTGTTCCAAGGTGCTGGACAGCAAGGCATTCTCTGAGGGAAGGTGCAGGGAAGAATTCTAAAACCTGCAGTAGTCATAGAGGCTGAAAAGGGAGAGAGAAACAAGCAGCCTTCCTCTTGCTCCACACCACAGGAAAATGTTTGCTCAGACTTTCACTCTCTAGTGCAGGGACAGGAGAGAAAAGAAACCTTCCCACCATCTCCCATCTTATTGCCACCATTACGTGACAAAGCAGTTATGTATCCACAAGGAAAGAATTTAAGTGATCATTTTTGTGTCATGTGCTACTATGCATACATTTCCATTCCTCACCTGCTATGAAAGGTGTTACAGACACTGATTTTTAGCCACCCAGGTATTTGTTAGCAATAGTGGCTTGTCAAAACTCTCCTGTAAAGCATTTAGTGAAATTAAGCAACATCAGCCTCCATTTCCCATGTGATAAAAACCTTTTGTGACCACCAACTGTTAGTTACCTCTCTGAAGTAAATGAATTTGGCTCTTTTTCTTTTTCTGTAGAATTTAAATGACAGAAATGTCTTTCAAGAAGCAAAGGAAGAAGCAGCCATCAGCTCTGAGGATGACAGTTTCTTTGTTCAGGTACACGATGTCTCCCCAGAGCAACCACGCACCGTCATCAAAGCTCCTCGCTTCAGCACAGCTCAGGATGTCATCCAGCAGGTAAGCTGCACGTTTCCACCTCAGCACGTGGGGGTGGAGGTTGGTTTCACACAGGATAAGGTGGGGTTTGTTCTCAGCACTAGCTGAGGAATCGCTTTACAAACTTGAATCTGAGGGAATTTGTCTTTTTTGTCTTCTTTTTTTTCCCCCCTGCTTTTAAACAGACTCTTTGCAAAGCCAAATACTCCTACAGCATTTTGAGCAATCCAAATCCAAGTGATTATGTGCTCTTGGAAGAGGTGACAAAAGAGCCAGCAAACAAAAAGTCCTCGACATCTAAACCATCTCAGAGGATTCTGTCTGACCAAGAATGTGTATTTCAGGCCCAAAGCAAGTGGAAGGGAGCAGGAAAATTTATCCTTAAGCTCAAAGAACAGGTTCAGGTAAAAGATGCAATGTTTTGCAGCAGGTGTTGTGTAATCAGCTTAAGGGGAACCTGCTTTCAGTGGGAGGGAGACATGAGGCAGGTGGGGAGGACAGACTACAGCAAAAAGCAGATTCCTCTCCGCTCAGTGCGTCCCTTATTTTTTCCCTTTGCAAAGCTGCATCAGTCACATCCAGCAACACAACTCCCTCACAGCCTGCAACTCCCTGACAACTCTTCTGCTTCCAGCATTCTGTTTTGCAAAACCTTCTGGCTGTGCATGCCATGTGCCCCAGCATAATAAAGGACCATTCAAATGGGCAGAACTTAAAAGCTACTGGAATAAAGTCCCCTTTATTCCTGCCCAGTGAAAAAGTTGTTCTGTTGCTTTATCTCAGGCCTTAAAAAATGGCAGGAATGAAGTACATGCCTGCTGGGAGAAGGAGCTGGGTTGTCCCTTCCAGCAGATACTACCAATCCACAGCAGCTGTTGATTTAAAGTAACTGTATTATAAGCACAGCTTTTTTATACAAGTTCATACCAAATTTGCTAAACATCTCTTTGACAATGCATCATTTTTGATCAGAAGTATGTGCTTGGCTGTGAAAACACAGCCATACTGAACTTCCAAAGGGAACCCTGCTTAGAAATACATCAGGTGTTTTCATATCAATTCCATATTTCACAGCTAACAAGCAGCTGTTAAATCATTTCTATGATTGCTTGGGGTTTTTTTTACAGGCAGCACGAGACGACAAAAGGAAAGGCATCTCCTTCACCAGTGAACTCAAGAAGTTAACCAAGTCAAGCAAGCAGTATCGGGGGTTCATCTCTCCCCCCCTGCAGGTGCTGTCAGACAGTCCCCAGAGCAAGGACGAAAGAGCTGCGTGTGGCTTGGCCTTCAGTGACATCGTGGAGTAATCACAGCTGCTGCCTGCAGTACTGTCTGCTCAGGTATGACATACCCATTCTAACACTGAGCAACCCTTTAGTACATGATTTACAGACTTGTTTTCAAAGTTGTACCTGAATGAAGTACAAGGGACTGACAGAAACATCCATAAAACCCTTAGACATTAGTGTGCACAGGCCCAGTGTCAGCAGTAGGTCTCCAGTTCTTTATCATGCCACTTACTCCACTGAATGGCAAGAAGACTTTCACCCACTCTCTCTGCCCATTTAAAAAGCAAAATCAAAATATTGCATCCTGGTTGGTTTTATAGTATGCATTTTAATCAGTAATTGTGCTTAATTAATGATGTTGTGTTACTTACTCTTTTGCTCTGGGCCAAAGTAAATGGAAGTAACCAGTAGAGCTTTTATTTTTTTGTTACATGCAAATAATAAAATCATCAGGACTGGCAAATCTCTTTTTTAGCTAAAACAAGTTTATATAGTTAATTTCTCTCTCTGGAAATTTTGCCAGAAATGTTTAAACATTTATATTATCCTTTCTGTATATCTTCACTTTCTTCCATCTTGCTTGACTTCAAACAACAACTGAGACACACAACATAAGACTGTCCCATTTACAGGGAGATAGTAAGTGCAACTTGTGCAGTGACATACACTAACCAGACACTTGCACAGTGCTACTACAGCACTGAGACAGCAGCTGAGAAGTTACAGCTCATTGCAAATGAAGAAGAAATCTTTTTGTGCTGATAATCCCATCTCACATAAGGCCAATTTAAGACTACATTTTTCTTTAATGATTTAACTATTAAAGCATTATCTGACATGCACTATCACACCACTGCCAAGTCATTACATTAACAGAACTCAAGGACTGTTTTCATTTGCAATGTGTTTCAAATATGAAAGAGATGGCTCAGGGGTGACCTCATCACTCTCTACAACTCCCTGACAGGGGTTGGAGAGAGGTGGGGGATGGTCTGTCCTGCCATGGCTGCAGGGAGAGGACTGGAGGGAATGGCCTTGAGCTGAGACAGGGCA